GTTATGATGTATGCAACTTACCCTCAAAAGCTTTAGCAAATAATAATAATATAGGGAAAGCAAATGTGACGACCTATTTATAATCAGTGAAGGTACGTGAAAGAAAGGCAGGTGTTCATTGTACCACTCTCACCTTTTCTGCAGATATATGGAAGTTTTTAACATAAAATCAAAACACCACATAAAATATCCAAAATCCATCCCTTCTCACCACTACCACCACCACGCCCACCCTGGAGGAGGACACCCTCCTTGGCCCGGATAGCCACAGTGACCTCCTCACTGGACTCCCATCTTCCGCCTTCACCTCAGCTTTCAGTCTGTTCTCTGCACAGCAGCCAGAACTTGCCAGCCAATCACGTCAGTCCTCTGCCCCAAGCCCTCCAAGGGGCCCGGCTCACTTGGAGTAAAAGCCAGTTCTTATTCTGGTCTACAAGCCCAAACTGACACCTTTGACTCCAGCTCCCCGCAATTCTGCTCGTGTGCCATTGGCCTCCTTGCTGTTCCCCAATACCAGAGCACTTACTGCTGGGATGGTGTCCCCACTGCAGTGTCAGCTCCATGAGGACAGGTGGTTAGGTCAGCTTTGTCCACTGCCATATCCCCAAACCTAGAACACTGTCTGGCCTGTAGAAGGTACCTGGTAAATACTTGTTATATGAATGGCTCAATTCTGGGAATTGAGAAATGAGTAAGTGAGATAGGGTCTTCGCCCTCCAGGGGAATGGTTTAGGAAGAAAAAAAAAATACAGAACATACAGGAAAAAAAAAGTACTTTGAATATACAAATATGGAAACTGACAGACACTAGGTTTTCTCTTGTATTACAGATCCCCGATAGAGATCTAATAAGTAACTAATAAATAATAAGTGATAGCTAATAAATAATAGCTAACAACTGGGTAATTTAAAAAACTGTCTTAGAGACATCAGAATCATACTCAAGGTAGTTAGGTCTTTTGGTGCGTTGATTCTCCCACCATTTCTGTAAAGAAGTAGGTATCGTTCACCACCACTCCTTTCCACAGAAGGAAAATAAGGTGTAGGGATTAGGTGCCCGGTAAGGAAGATCAGAAAACAACCAGGCCAGGCTGCCCCCAGGGAGTCTCTGGGCCTGTCTGTACTAGGTAAACATGCTTCAAGAGAATGTCCATTAGAAACACTCTGGATAATTGAAAGACTTTTGCACTTAACAGAACGGATGATTACTCTAAAAAGGAAAAGTAATGCCCCGTCACTTGGGGCATTCAACCAGAGGCCAGACCTCACAAAGGGGCGGGACTCCCACTACCCTGGGGGTGGGGGTGGGGTCTCAGCACTCCAGAGTCTAATTCAGTCCCTGCCTGACCCTCACCCATCTCACAGTTGGAGACTAGTCCTCTGACCAGCTCACCTTTCAGACTGTAATAATGTGCCACAGTTCCTTTAATAAGATCATTACGCAGCTGGAAAAATGGCTTTGGAGACTATGGAGCAACTGGGGAAAGTATTTACTATAAAATATTCAGTGGTGAGGAAAAAAAAAAAACCCTGTGTGCCAGGATGACCATGTACAATCACCCTGGAGAAAGCCTGGAAAGAAACACAGGGACAGCAGTTAGAGTGATGTGTACTTGGTGGGTTTTCCTCAATATTCTGAAATTTTCTGCACTGTTATGCTCTCTTTTATGATCTTTTAACTTAAAAATCTATTATTCAAACTAAAAGTTACAATAGGGCTTCCCTGGTGGCGCAGTGGTTGAGAGTCCGCCTGCCGATGCAGGTAACACGGGTTCGTGCCCTGATCCGGGAAGATACCACATGCCGCGCAGCGGCTGGGCCCGTGAGCCATGGCCGCAGAGCCTGCACGTCCGGAGCCTGTGCTCCGCAACTGGAGAGGCCACAGCAGTGAGAGGCCCGCGTACCGCAAAAAAAAAAAAAAAAAAGTTACAGTAAAATTGGCCAAAAGACCAAACTCATCTCAAAAGCTGGCTGGGGTTAATAGCGAAGAACATGCCCCCTATCACGACCCCTGAAAGGGACTCGCTTACTGACCCGCTGCCCGTGTGTCTTTCAGAAAACCAGCTGCAGAAAAGTAGAGACTCCATACAGAACACCTGACAACAAACACCGGCTGCCCAATGCTTAGCAACACAGGACAACAGGCCACAAAACAAAGACCAACACCATAATAGCCTTCTCAGTTGCCCTGGAGCAAGGGGGAACGGACTGGCTCAGTCTGTTTTTGAAGAGACATTAATAAAGTGACAAACTTGGGGGAAAAAAATTAAAAGGTTCCACCTATGAACAGATAAAGTGGACAAGAACTACACACAAACCTGCACAAAAAAGAAAAGGCCTACACAGTGTGCCCAGCCCACAGCAGGACCAAAAAGGAGGTATCTGGTGAGTGAATGAATGAATGAGTCCTCTCTAGGGAACTTTACAGCAGTTTCTATAAATTGTGTCCCCAGTCTCCTCAAACCCTTTCGTTTCTAGGGACTACAGGTAGCAAACAAGGAATCATAATTAAATGAGGATGAGGACTAGACCAGTGGTTCAGCCTATGGTCAGAGGTCGGAAGAAGTTTTAGCTGAGAACTAAATTAAAGGGTTTTATCCCCTTCGTGGAAGGTGGGAAGGGAAAAGTATTCCTGGAACATCACAGAACCCCCCACCTCTAAGCTGAAAGGGACCCGCCAGACACTTCAGGAGCCTCACTTAAGTGACACTAATTCAGTATCTGGCTATAAATAAATATTAGTTTAAAACAAATCAACCACCTCTGCCCAGGCAGGTATATGCAGGGCAACACCTACAGAAATGTAGTACAGGTTAAGTCCAATCTAAAAAAAAGCTTCAGAGCGCCAAGAGCAGACTCACTCCAATGGCACACAGCCATGACTTACTCTTGGAGAGTGCCTGAACTCACTCTTGGAGAGATCTGACCTGAACCAGGGTCAGAAGGCTTTCCCATGTGCCGCCTCTGAAACGTGAAATTAGAAGCCTGGGTGCGCTCTCCTTAAAGGCTACTCACAGAAACAGCCTACAGTGAATTTAGGGAGCACATCTATGAATCACCAACACCACGTAGAAAGCCAGTGACTTTAAAAGCTACAGTAAGCCACCTAAATATAGATGAGAAAGAACACGAGTAACAGACAAATGGTCTTCCAGGAAAGCATTTTAAACTTGTGACAGCGACACTCGGCACCTGTGGCTAAATATAAATATCCTATCACTGTTGCCACCCAGCCAACCTTCTTTAGGCAGGTTTCTCCAGCTTGGAAAAGCTAACACAGACAGGTATTTTGATACTACAGTCGTTTCCACAAGTCTAATGCTAGACAGGTAATCTATGGCTTCAAAAGTGGCCCAGGTGTCACTGCTATCAGCTACCACAAAAGCCCCACCTCCCAAAAGCCATCTAGGATACCCCAAGTTTTATAAGAAAATGGCAAGAAGTCAAAGGAGGAGTGGGAAGGCCAACAAGCTTTCCCAAGGATCAATGCCTGATCTTTCTAATCACCTATTCTGGTGGGTAATGAGCTTCCTTGGGCATAAAAAACAGGTTGACTCTTTCTCTGTGAACTGGATGAAAAAGTTTAATTTAGGCCTCTATGATGCAGAGCATTTTTCAGCCTATTATTATTGGTACTTAGGATCCACTGCGGGTCATTTGTCACAGGAAACCTGTAATGTTCATATAAAATGATGTGTCAGGTTAAAGATCTCCATGTCCCTGTTTAATAAAGAAAAGGTGATTATTCAATGTCTGACAACCGTGATCAGGCAGGAGACAGGCACACAGAACAAATCCAGTCGGCCATTCTCAAGAAGGACACCGGGTTTGTCCAAGGTACTAACTCAGATTAAAGAAACTCACCTCTAGGGCTTATGCATCAACAGGGAATATGAGCAAAAAATAATTCAACCCCGGTCGTCCCCAGCAAGTACACAACTTCTTCTGGTCGCGTGTGCCTCAGTTTCCCGGCTTGCTGGCTGCCTTTCCGACAGGAATGCCCGCAAACCCTAGGAGAACTGGGCCCCCACGTTTCAGTCCCGGCCCTCCCCGGCGTTCGGAGGGGCCCTTGTGGAGCGAAGGGAGGAATGAATGGGCTGCGCGGGGGCTCACGAGGGGTCCCGGCGCCTCGGGCCCCGGCACCAGCCCAGATGCCCAGCCCGGCGAGGCTGGGGCTCGGCGAAGCGCCCTCCAACTGACCGCGCCGCGCCCCCTCCGCCTCGGACCACCCCCAGCCCCGGCCCCACGGCGTGGTGCGCGGCACCTGGCGACCGCCTCTCCAACAAACGCGGCTCGGATTCCCCGCAGCCTTCAATAATTCACAGCCCCCGAGCTCCGGGCTGAATAATTGACGGCGGGCCCCGCGCGAGCCCGGCCCGCACCTTCTCGCCCTCATCCGGGTTCTTGTCCGGGTGGTACTTGAGCGCCAGCTTCCGATAGGCCTTCTTGATCTCCTCCGGGGAGGCGCTGGGCTTCACCCCCAGGATGTCATAGTACTGGGTCTCCTTCACCATCTTTTCTCTGCGGGGCGGGGCGGGCAGGACGGTCAGCGCGCCCCGGACGCCCCAGCCGGGCCCCTGGCCCGCGCCCCCGCCGCCCGCCCGCGGGTCACGGTCACGGTCACGGTCACGGCTGCTGCCGTTGCCGCCGCCGCCGCCGCCCGGGGCTCTCTCCCGCCTGCGCCGGGATACCCTCCTCTCTCAGCTCCGCCGCACTCGAGCCGCCGGCTCCTCCGCGGCGGGTTTTATTCGGCGCCGGCGGAAGGTTCCGCAAGGAGACAGTGACGCCACAAAGGCCCAGAACCTTCGCGGAGGTTCCGGCGGCGCCTGGAGCTGACTGGCTGGGGCGCTGCGGTAGGTTAGAGGCCCGGACCCCCGACGCCCCGGCCCGGCGCGACCTCCCGGCTCACCCGGTCGCCTGTTCCTCCGGCCTGCAGTCTGAGTACCCGGAGCTCCAGTTCTGACTGCCGCCCCGGGCCATGTTGGGGGTCTTGGAAGACGGCTTCGGAGTGGAGGGCGCCTTCCGACGGCCGCCCCGCCACCCCGGGGCCGTCCCTTTTCCCTTGCGTGGGTCCGTGGGTCCGGCTGGCTCGAAGATCAGGTGGCCTGGAGGGCAGCGTCGGCGGGAACCCTGCCCCGAGGGGTTGGACTGGGAGGGCTGCGCCCTGCTGTCCCCACCCGGCCTCTCCCTGGGGGTGTGGCCGCCCTCTGTTTGGTTATGTCCCGGATGCGCCCTGAGGTATGCCTCGGATTGTTGCGTTTTTGAGGGGTTTGGAGTGGGTAGGGGCCCTCTACTGTGCTGGAGTCGCATTTCCTGAGGCCATTTCCTGAAGGTGCTGGCGCCCCCCGGGGCATCATCAAGGCTGAGGTGAGCCTAAGCCTTCCAGATACGTACAGTGGTGCTTTGCTGGCTCCAGCTGTGGACGGTGCTCTCTCAACTGCCCATAACTGGGAACCCTTGACGTCCCCCAGATGTGGGGAGTGACGCCCGTTAGATGTGAGCAGTGACGTCCCCCAAGTCTCCCAAAGGTGGGCAGTGCCCCCTCCCCTCCAGAGCAGGCTCGTGGGCGCAGTGGGCGTGGGGGTGGGGTGGGAGAGCGGTTTTGGAGACTGCAGCAGGACCCTCACTGCCTGGTACAGTAACGGGTCCCTGACTTCCTTTTGCTGTGCCCAGCTCCCAGCAGGTGCCTGGTAGCAAGGATCACCACCCACTGCAGGAACGTGGGCGTGGGAAGCAGCACTATCAGAGAACTGCAGGCCTTCTTGCTCCAGCCCAGCCTTGACTTCTGCCGATGGTACACTGCCAGGGAGGGTTGGCCACTGCTCACCTGTCTGGGATCCCTTGGCCTCGTTTTGGGTCCTGTGGCTGAGGCAAGTACTATCCCCCTCCTCCACGTGTTCAGTGGGGGTGAGAAATGACTTTTAACTTGCAAGAGAAGGTAAGCTGCTCATTTCTGTTCTTGGAGACATTGCTTTTTCCCTCTCAATTAGACCTCTGAAGAGCAGTAACCTTTGGCAGAGGTCAACAAACTTGGTTCCATCCCCAGATGTTATTAACTATATGAGCCTTAGCCTCTCTGAGCTTGTTTCCTCATCAGCAGGACACGGTCATTGCCGCCTGCCTGCCTGCCTGCCTTCCTCACAGGGCTCTTGCAAGGATCACATGGGATGATCACTGTGAAGGCTTCTAGCACACAGTGATCATCCAAATCTCGAACCTGGCTGTTCATAGGGATCACCTGGGAGCTTCTAAAAATCCCAGTGTCCAGGCTGCACCCCAGTCCAATTGCACCAGCACTTCTGGGGGTGGAACCCAAGCATCAGTACTTTTAAAGGTCCCCAGGTGATTCCACTGAGCAGCCAGAGCTGAGAACCACTGCCCTGCACCACACATTTATCCAGACTCAATAGTCTGGACCGGTGACACTGGCAGGAAGGGCATTTGTGGGTGGTCAGAGCCTATAGGCATAGAATGGGCCTATGAACTCTGGAACCAGTGAGACCTAGGTTCCAGTTGCTACCTCTGGCTGCCTGACCTTGGGTAGGTGATTTAACCTTTCTGAGCCTTAGATTCCTCAACCTTTTTATGGGGAAAATATTAAGAGTATCTACCTCATAAGCGCCTGAAGCCCCTGGCTCATAGTCTCATCACACGATGATGCATTATGTTCTTTTCACTTTTATCTAAGCTGAAGAAGCTGACAAAGATTCTCTCCTTTATGAAATTCTAGCCAGGCTCCTCTGAACCCTCTTCTCAACTAGGCCTCAGCCTTGGCCTGTAAAGACTTGAACAACCACTAGCATAGTTTCTAATAGCTCAAGGCTGCCTCCCTAAGGTGGCTCTAACACCGCCCCCCCCCCCCAAAGTGCCTGCCTGAGAAAAGGCTGCCAAAAATTTTTACTGTTTGTTCCAGCCAACACCTGAGGACACCTGAGGACAGAGCCTCTGTCTCCCAGTCTCTGTGAGAAAGTAGAATTCTAACTTCAATAATACCAGCTAGCAGACACCACTGGCCTAGTTGCATTTACACTTGACCTTTGGTAAGTTTTCATTTCTCTGACTCTACTGAGCCCCCAGGTGCCTCCCTCCCTTCTTCATTTTCACTTTAAAATACCCAGCTATTTCTGTCCAAATTAAAGTTGAGTTCAGTTCATGCTGGTCTCTTTTCCCTATTGCAATAGTTACTACTGATGAAAATCTCTCTTTACCACTTCAGCCAGCATCCAGATTTGTTTACGTTTGACAAAGCTCTGATGTTCTAGGACATTGTTTCCTCGAATTATGCATGGGAAGATTTGAGGCTGTGCACAGACGTTTCTTACTTTATCAGTTATGTGTTTGTTTTCATGGTTCACTTTTTCTGTATTGCAACCTTTATTGCAAGTGACATTGGTTTTCGAGTCACAGAAGGCAAGGTAAACTTTCATTTTTATTTAGGTTAAAAAAAGTAGATGGGGACTTCCCTGGATCCAGTGGTTAAGACTTCACCTTCATTGGAAGGCAGGGGATGCGGCTTCAATCCCTGGTCGGGGAGCTAAGATCCACATGCCTCACAGCCAAAAAACCAAAACTAAAAAAGAAGCAAAAAACTAAAAATAGAACTACCATACGACCCAGCAATCCTACTACTGGGCACATACCCAGAGAAAGCCATAATTCAAAAAGACACATGCGGGCTTCCCTGGTTGTGCAGTGGTTAAGAATCTGCCTGCGAATGCTGGCGGACACGGGTTCGAGCCCTGGTCTGGGAAGATCCCACATGCCGCGGAGCAACTAAGCCTGTGCACTGCAACTACTGAGCCTGCGCTCTAGAGCCCGCAAGCCACAACTACTGAGCCCACGTGCCACAACTACTGAAGCCTGTGCACCTAGAGCCCGTGCTCTGGAACAAGACAAGCCACAGCAATGAGAAGCCTGCGCACCGCAACGAAGAGTAGCCCCCGCTCACCACAACTAGAGAAAGCCCATGTGCAGCAACGAAGACCCAACGCAGCCAAAAAAAAACAGACACATGCACCCCAGTGTTCATTGCAGCACTATTTACAATAGCCAGGTCATGGAAGCAACCTAAATGCCCATCGACAGACGAATAGATAAAGAAGATGTGGTACATATATACAATGGAATATTACTCAGCCATATAAAGGAACAAAGTTGGGTCATTTGTAGAGACATGGATGGACCTAGAGACTGTCATACAGAGTGAAGTAAGTCAGAGAAAAACAAATATCGTTTATTAACGTATATGTGTGGAATCTAGAAAAATGGTACAGATGAACCGGTTTGCAAGGCAGAAATAGCGACACAGATGTAGAGAACAAACATATGGACACCAAGGGGGGAAAGTTGGGGGGTGGGGGTGGGATGAACTGGGAGATTGGGGTTGACATATATACACTAATATGTTTAAAATAGATAACTAAAAAGAACCTGCTGTATAAAAAAATAAAAACAAATGAACAAAAGGTATGTGTATAGGCACTTCCCTGGTGGCGCAGTGGTTAAGAATCCTCCTGCCAACCAGGCCGCAGCACAGCCGGGGCTGCCGCTCGCAGTAATCACTATTTTTTTTTTTTTAATAATCACTATTGATACGAAAGCTTTATTTAGCCTTCATCTGCACCCTCCTAGTGGATAAGGTTTTGCCACATTTTACTAGTGAGGTTGAGAGATGTATCATTTGTTTGTTGTTCTGTCCCCTCCCCCAGTATTAAACTGAAATTTGTGATTTGTTTAAACTCTGGGTGAATCATAGCTTAGTTTGCATGTCCAGCTAATTTGTTTCTATACGTTTGTTTGATTCTCTTTCTCCTTCTCTCAGGGCTTTTACAAATATATATATATGGATCTTCTGAGAAGGTTTTTGAGGTGCACATTTCTCTCTTTTGTTTTTCTCTTGATTTATGGACACGATGCTGAGATTCAATCACTACATGAAACTCCCAGCTGTGAAAACAAAACAAAAAACCCAAAGGGCTGTTTTTTCCACCAGCCCTGGGGAAGCTATGTGACGGTCGGAGGCCGGTTTCAGAAAGTTTCACCATTCTTTCCACCCTCTGTTCCTCTCTCTCCTCCAGAAGGAAGTTGATCCTAGTGATTTCAGCCCATGCGTTAAGCAGGAAACAATAATAAACGTGTAGAATTCATATTTTTCTAAAGGGAACTTAAAAACTCCCGCTGCGTTATGTACAAAACTGGTTTATGCCACATGAACACAGAATCCCAAGTTCGGTTTGGGTACTTTTCGTTCCGCTTTGCGTTCAGTTGTATAGTACTTCCAAGTTCAAAATGAGAAGAAAAAGCTGTTCTGTATCAAACCATCTAAGCAATAAATGTTATATTTTAAAGATGGAAAAAAAAATCTGCCTACCAATGCAGGGGACGCAGGTTCGAGCCTGGTCTGGGAAGATTCCACATGCCGCGGAGCAGCTAAGCCCGTGTGCCGCAACTACTGAGCCTGAGCTGTAGAGCCCACGAACCACAACTACTGAGCCCACGTGCCACAACTACTGAAGCCCGTGCGCCTACAGCCCGTGCTCCGGAACAAGAGAAGCCACTGCGATGAGAAGCCCACGCACGGCAACGAAGAGTAGCCCCCGCTCGCCGCAACTAGGGAAAGCCTGCGCGCAGCAACGAAGACCCAGTGCAGCCAAAAATAAAATAAAGTTTAAAAAATAAGTAGATAGATATGTAAGGTAAGCAATATAAGTATATGATAGTACAGGTGACACAAGGATAAAGCAAAAATTACGGTACTTGGGAATTAGGGAAATGCTGATCCAATTCCACACCCCTCACTTTACAGCTGAGGAGACTTCTACACAAAGAGGCAAAACTAAAAGTCATAGGTTGGGCATTTTCCCTGAATCCCAGTACCAGACTCCCCGTGTCACCCTGGGTGGAAGGAGAGTCAAAGCAAGCACAGAAATAGCTCTTGCAAAGGCAGCCTGGGACAGGTTCTCCATGGAGTCTACTGAAGAGGGAGAGCCGCCTGTGATTGGGGAAGGGGTCTGGAAGGACTTCCAGGGGGAAGGTATGTGCCCTAAACCAGGCAGTGAGAGCTACCTGGGGCAGAGGTGGGAGGGAGGGGGGTCCTGCTTGAAGGGACAGCAGAATAAAGGCAGAGAGCACAGTGCTGGCATGGATGAAGTCTCTGAATTGGGAGAGAAGTGGAGATAGGTACAGCAGAGCCCGGAATGCCTCAGGGAGGAGTTTGTTCCTCCTCTGATGGCCCCTGGGAGCCACTGAAGGTCTCAGAGCAGGAGCAGCCTTCTGGGAGGAATAACCAGGGGCTGGGAGAGGTCTGAGCTGGGCGTGCAGATGTGAGAGCCCCCTCCAAAGAGGGGCCAAGGGGTTGACAGGCTGGCCTAGAGGGAGAGTGTAGAGAGAGGAAGAAGGTAGCAAGGAGAAGCTACGGGGAACACCTGCCCTTAGGAAGTGGGAGGAGGAAGAACAACCATCAGAGAGGCAAGAGAAGCAGGAATGTAGAGAGGAGCCCAAACCATGAGAGGCTAGGGTGGTGAAAGGAGCAGAGGGCCAGTGCCCAGGCGGCACCCAGGCCGGGAACGGTGGAGCTGGTGCTTGCGGGATGCAGGGGGTTGTCACAGGGTTTCTCCAATAGGAGGATGTTAATTTGTTGGCCCCTAAAATAGCAGTTGTCACTCCAGGCCACTGTTTGACTATCCCTAAGGACTTCTGCTTGGAGAGGCCCTGCCTCTCACTGGCTGTGCAACTTTGGGCAAATTACCTCTCCCTGGACCTCAATTCCCACCTCTGTAAAACAGGGATAAGAACACCAAC